GAGGAAGAAGAAGAAGAAGAAGAAGAAGAAGAAGAAGAAGAAGAAGAAGAAGAAAAGAAGATAGCGCTCAAAAGTTTCCTGACTTGTTACATACAGGAATCAAAAAGAGGAAAAGTTAGTCAGAGGAAGGCGAAGTATCACGGCTTCCCTGCTGTAGATCACAGCCTGCAGATTCCAGGCATAGTTGATTTCTGTTTAGTTCTGCAGTACTTCATTCACTGTACTAAATGCCAGAAACTGTCCTGGAAATAGTACAGCAAGAAAGTGTTGATTCTTTGGTGCAGATGGGGCTGTGTGTTTCAACTGAAGACACTTCTAAAGGAACCAAGGTATCAAATTTATCTTCAAAGTATCTTCTCCTTGTCTCTCTCCAGCACTCAGAACAGCAACAAAGGCTTTAGTGCATAGTCAGCACCGCGGACAGCGGCAAAATTGGAACCATTTTCACTGTTGTTTTTTTTCTTCTTAAAAAGTTTATTTTATTTATTTATTTATTTATTTATTTATTTATTTTGCGGAACCGGGGATTGAACTCAGACCCTTGCACTTGCAGGGAAGCACTTACTCCACGGAGCCATCTCCCCAGCTCCTAAAAAGTTTATTTTAAAGAGAGCATAGTGATAATTGATATGACATTAGAAACGATACTCAATTTTTCTAACTTTTCTCCTTTTTCTCATCTTTTTTGTTTAATCCTTAAGTTCCATTTCTTTCCTTTTTTTGTCATTTTCACCGTTGGCAGCAACTCTGGGGCCTAGCCAGGAGCTCGACCTGTGAGTGTGTGACGTAAGCAACTGGGCAAGCTCCCTGACAGCAGAGCTAAGTGCCTGGTTCATAGAGAAAGACCACCTGAAGATCAGGGTACATATCATGCAGGACATACTAAATGTTCCAGATGTGCACACCATAAAAAATTTTCCATCATGGTCTTCAGCTCCCCTGTCTCACGTTCATTAACAGAAATACCAGTTCTGGTTTTGCTTGAAGACTACAGTGCATTCTCAATAGGGGACAAAAGGGGCTGGGGAGATAGCTCTGCAGTCTAAGCGCCTGCCTTGCAAGCACACAGATCTGGGGTTGATCCCCGGTACCACATGCCATGCTGGCCATGGAACCCCAGGTGTGTGCTGCCAGCCACTGAAACTGGGTGTGGTGGTGCAGGCCTGTAGTCCCAGCACTGGAGAGGCTGAGACAGGAGGATCACTATGAGTCTAGCGGTGCAGTGAGACCCTATGCCAACTAACTACAAAATTTTAAAGTTTTTTTAAATAGAAGACAGAAGTCTTCAGACAGGTGACTAATGATGAAATATATAGTTCTTTTAGTTCATGATGGGTGTGTCACAGAAAGTACTGTACTAGAGGTTTCCACTCTCACTACAAATTGAGGTATATTTTTCAAAATTATGAGTTGTGCTTGTTGTCTTGGCTACGGTTGCCCCTAAAATTAGACCCTGTGATGTTTAAATTTATGTGTCAACTTGAAGGGGCCATAGATTGCCTACATATTTGGTCAGATATTATTCTACATATCCCTATGAAGGTGTTTTTAGCTTAGATTAACATTAAATTGGTAGATTACATAAAACAGGTTGTTCTTTATTATGTTGGGTGAACCTCATCTAATCAATTAAGGCCTGAATAAGATAAAATGTTGACCTTCTCTCTAGGAAGAGAGATTATCCAATCTAACAATATTTGAACTGGGACATGCGCTATTCATGCTTGATAAACTTTGAGTAGGAACAGTGATTTGCATAATCCTATATATACTCTGCAAGTTCTGTTTCCATGGAGAACCCTAATACCTCTGACAAAGGGATTCAGCTCTAGGTGACTTATTTGAGAAATGATTTCAGGAAACATACAGGAGCATGAGAAAATGAAATGAGGGGGGTAAAAATAGTGCATGAAGTAGCAGAATACACAGTGGACTCTTGGTGATCAGTTCTTCAGGAAGTGTGGAAATCAACTCAGAACTGTCCTATAGGCTGGGAGGCTGGAGAATTAGCTTATTCCTTTCTCTGGTGTCACAAGTTGCTTCTGGGCACTAATTACCCTTTAAATTGTTCTCATGGATATTCCATCAAGTCCCCCTGATAATGCAGTGGCCACATAGGCTAAGAACAGGCACTTGTGGTGAGAAGCCACCATTGCACTGGAAATTGATTATGATTGGTGCAGGTGAACTTGGGTGTGGGCTTAGGGAATATGGAGCAAGGTATCAATGATGCCTGCCACAATTAGGAAATAACAAATCTTATACAATCAGAATTTCGTAACTTAGAAAATCTGTCTAAGCAGGACTTCCAGGAAGGTGATGGAGTAGTTGACAGGAACAAATCAACTTCCCAAGATTCAGAATCCAGATCCTGGAAAGTAATAACTGGGGGAAGAAAAAGGGGAGGGCTATAGATTCCCAGGATCCAGGAAGGATCTGAAGCAAAAATTGGAGCCCACTGAGAAAGTGAAGAGACAGAGCACAACGCAGAGAGGAGGGGAAAAATTGCACTTTCTGCCTAGCTCCTAGATCATGGTGCAAGAGAGTAAAAATTGAATTTACAGAGAAACAGTGAGGGTGAGTGACTCTAGAAGCTCCATAAGAAATGCACCCAAGGAACAGAAAAGTGGACAGTAGGTGCTACTACAGCCCCTTGTGAGTGACTCCAGCCCAAGTGACTGCCATGTTCCCAGACAGGCTGTTTGGCTGTGTGTCATTTTAAGGAGAGGTCGGCTGAAATCAGAACTCAGAACAGCCTAAGATTGGTTTCATCTGAAGGCCCTCAGTGTTGAAATCCCACAGTGACAGGGTGAGGGACAACTATGGGAGCTGTCCAGAGCCAGGAAGCCAAGGTCAAGCCAACAAGAGACACTCAGGATGTTAGGCTGAACGACTCTGGCCCAAGCCCACATGCTGAGGCCAGAATCAGCCTGAACTTCTGCGGATATGGAAGCACCAGGAACAAATCAACTTCCCAAGATTCAGAATCCAGATCCTGGAAAGTAATAAATGGGGGAAGTAATAACTAGTGGGATATGGAACCCACCCTAGCTGTGAGCTTGCTGGGATTACCCAGTATGGATCTGAGTTCTGTCTGCAACATTTGTCTACCAGTGACAGCAGAGACATGCTCTTTACTGGACACTACCACAAAAGTATAGAACCCAAAAAACGACCGTAGACTGGAAATCACAGAGAAATCTTTTTTCTTAATAAGTTGATCTTTCTTTTTTTTCATGAGTGAACACTGTTTTTAGTTTTGTTCTTTTTTTTTTTTAATTTTATTTATTTATTTGTGTGTGTGTGTGTGTGTGTGTGTGTGTGGCCAGCTCAGTCCACCAGGGGGCGGGGCTGGCTGGCATGTGGTGCTGG